AAAAGGCGAGTACTGTTCATTAAGGGCAGTTACTGTTCACTGGGTGGATAGCATAGTATATTACCTGGGGGTTCCCATGCTGGAAGTGCTCTTAAGTTTTTTACTTTACCATTTCCTGATGTTTGCACCAGAGAAGACCAAATACAGAATTCTATAATTGTAAAAAAATAATGGGTAGTCAACCTAGTCATTGTTAGTGATATAGTTCCCTTTTATTTGCAAAATGAAATTGTAATGCCATTTCCCACTTTTTCTTCTGGTCAATGGTGGCATTACATTTTTGGTGGAAGCTGCACTGCCTGGTTTCAGGATGGGTACAACCCAGTGGCGGTTGATATGAAGGGAGACGAGGACAATTCTAGGAGCAATAAGAAGAGAAATCCATTCAGTGCTGATTTTTTCGGCTCTCTCTGCTATACTTTCCAGCACAGGAAACTTATAGAGCTCTACGGTGATCTAACCAGGATTGATTCTCGTCTCGATATTTGTTCAGCTTCAGCTTTGGCTAAAAGGGTTATTTATGGTTTGAAGAGTTCCTCTACTAATAGTGCACAAGATCTGGTGTCCTGCCCTAGGATCAATATAATCTTTCAGCAGTAGGTATTTCTATTTATACCTTAACCGTCTAAATGTTGTGCACCTTAAGTTGGAAGAGAATTTTTAAATGCAGTTATGCACAATATGTTACAAAATCCACATAGTCATTTGCTAATTGGTACTTGTGGAAGCGCGTATGTAACATCCCACATCGACCAACAGAGAGAGGGTGACGTGCCTTATATGTACATGTGCACCTTCATATAGCACAAGGCCTTTTGGAAACTCACTGGCTTCGGGTTCCATTGGAACTCCGAAGTTAAGCGAGCTCGGGCGAGAGCAATCCTAGTATGGGTGACATACTGGGAAATTCTCGTTTGAGTTCCCAAAAACAAAACCATGAGGGCGTGATCGGGGCCCAAAACGGACAATATCGTGTTACGGCGGAGTTGTCACTGGGATGTGATAGTGTATGCCCTGTCTGATTTCGATAATCTGCAGTCATTTTTCCGCTGACGTATCTATACAGTCGTTTTACTGCTCATGTGTTTTAATGTACGACTATTAGATCAGCGTAGAACTTTAAAATGAGAGGATGAAAAACTGAGCTCCTTTATATGGCTATTAACATGCGTGGCTGGGGTGAATGTTTTGGTTACTGGGATGAAAATCCAGTTGTTATTGACACATTACGTTTCCTTTGTAGATTTAAGGGCCAATTGTCTTTCGAACGGATTCCAGGATTGCACTTGACTGTGTTAGTATCGTGCCACTTTCATTTGAAGGTTGAAGAGAGTTTGAGTAGCAAAGCCTGGAGATAAAATTGCCTACTAGTTGATGAGTTTTGTAAGTCTTTCCGTCCTCATTTGTCCTGACTTGGGAGGGAGCCCGAGGATTTTCCTACTTCCATGTGTACATTTATTTGTTTATTATGTAGGATATTTCATATGATGCGAATGTGAAATTTGAGAATCGATATTAACATTAAATTTATAAATTGGAACCTATTCACCTCCCTTAAACTAGCATCTTCCTTCATTGAAATATAACATAGCGTATTGACTCGACTACACCGAGCGGGGCCGGTCAAATGTAGATCCAATTCAAAATCTCAGTGGACCCTTCTTATTTCCACCTATGTCGATTTAAGGGTTAGAATGTTGTTGGCAGTTGGTGTTGGAAATGTGCCCTAAAACCAATCATATGATGATACTTTACGGACATTTCAAACTAATGTAGTTTAAATGTAAAGGGCAAAGATTATTGTTTGAGCCGTCTCATATAAATGTTATATGCTTAAACGATAAGTCCAAGGAATATGTGATTGGAAGAATGCGATCTAAAGAAGTTAGATTCATGAGACCATTCTTTCGTTGACACATCCTAAACGTTCCTGATCATAGGATTGTCAATTGGGCATTGACAGTCCGTTAAGATCAGTACGTGCTATGTCTTCTCTCAGAGAGAGTGACTAGTCTCGAGTCATTGGTGTGTGTGACATCAAGACAAGTACGTAGGTGCTCAATAGAGAATGAGTTCACTGAACACGATCAACGAAGAGTTCTCATATTCATGTCACATGAGAACTCATGGTTGGGATAATGCAAATTAGTCTTTTGACCTGAGGCATCACAGTTGTCTTGTGGTTAGGTCCTTAATCTTTGATTATGTCAAAGTCACTCCATCAGGAGGGTGTCCACGACATCGTTGGGGTTAAGCCACTTAGCCATGGAGGCAAGTGAATGCGCAACAAGGGATCTCTAACCTTCAAACTGTTTGAGGGAGAATACTCTATGATATGATTAAGAATCTTTGGCCAAAGTATGAATGAGATTTAGGAATGTGTTCCAAATCACATTCAAGGTAATCATATAAGCACAAGACTCACATTGGATAGTAGACATGAATAAACTATCAAACCAAACAATGTGGTCAAGAGTATTGTATTAGAGAAAGACCGTATTGCATTTGTAATCCTAAAACTGAATAGGTTCTCCACCTCTTCTGATTAGCTTGGGTAACCATGACATGCTGCTAGGCGTCAACCATGGTTTGTGGAAGCCCTAAAAGTGTATTATCACTAACGGGAGAATTGAAAGTAAGTTTCAATTCACAATCGATTTGAAAGAGTTTGAATCGCCCACTGCCTCGCTAAAAGGAACCTAATGGATCGTACACCGTGTAAGGTAGAGATTGAAGATTCAACGGAGATGAGTAAGAATAATTAAATGGTTTAATTATTTATGGCAAGGATTAATTAATATGATTATTAATCAAACGAATAAGTTCGTTGAAGACCTCGGGATAGTTTTGGACCTTAAGGCCCAATGGGCTTCGAACGTCAAGTCCATTGACTTAAGTTGTGTGACAACTTAATGAATAATGATTCACAAAGGCCCAAATAGCCCAATGAATACCCTAAGGCCGGCCATGTTAGAGAAGGAGTGGTTTTGGACTTATTTACAAGTTTGCCACTCAAATGAATTAAGGAATAAGTATGACTTAATAGCCAAAATTCATTAAGGGTTATTTTTGGGGAAAGGATGAGAACACAAGCTCTCCTTTCTCTCTAAAATTTCGGCCACCCTTGAGGAAAACATCTAGCAATCTTACTTCCTCAAGGTCACTCATTTCTTCTTCAATCTTACCTTGGTGTGGAGACTTAGAGGTTCTCAATTTTGGGAACTTGGAGAAACCTTTTCATCCAGCCAAATCCATGGATCTAAGATGCAAGGAATGAAGGCCCTCTCTTTGGGTGATTAGCCTTTGCTTATGCAAAGAGGAATCTACAAAGGTATTGATTTCTCAACTCACTTTGTTTTGAGTTGAGTCTTGGTTCACCTATCTACTAGGCTTTGAATTTCATGGGTAAATGTTTTGTTTTAAGTGCATACAAGCATGATTCCGCCTTTAATTGTTAATTGCATGCTATTGATGTTGCTTAAATGAACATGTTTTTCACAAATCTTCCTTCAGTTGGATCTGCTAATATTTCAATACTTTTGTTTTTAATTGCCGACTTGCTTAGTGTACAATCTTGCAACATCAACACATCAACATAAAAGCAAGAACACATCACTAGATACAATCCTACTGGTGGGTTATAGTGTAGGTTATCACCACTATCTCCTTTCACACCATGGTGGATTTTGCGGATTTCCCAACCATCAATCTCTTTCTTGCAAAGTACTTCTATTCTATGACAATGATACATCGCCATGGTAAAGTCTCAAGCCAATGGAACAATTATAACTCATAAGTTTTACTCCACTTAATATCATGTCATTAGCACAAATGCGATAAAGAGGATACACCATGTTCAAACTCATTTCAAGACAGACGAGGACCCAAAGGAAGAGACAAATAAAACCTTCACAAACCCACCACTTGAACCCCAAAACCGAAACCAAAAAGAATTCGCGCTCCCTCACTCTTTCGACAGCCAACAATGGCGAACCTGAGGACGGCGATGGACTCAGCCTTCTGGGACTTGAACGTTTATTCGCCTCAGACCCTTGAGGGCTCGGCCAAGGCCGTTCCCGGCGACCCCTTTCCTCTCGACGGTGCTCGAGCCAGCCGAGCCCTTAGGATTCAGCAACTCTTTCTTCTGGGTGTTATACCTTCCTACAACCCCAATTCTTACAGGACTTGGGTTCTTTCTCTCACCAGTCCCTCTGCTCAGACCAGCTACCTCTAACTGGTACACGGCTACAACTTCTTTGCTTAGCTATTGCCTATTGGGTTTTCTCAAATTTATTTTATTTTTCGTTTAATGGATATTCTTTTTCGTTTTACGTGTTTCTGTTGATTGGTTTGTGGTTTGTATGGTTACTGAGAAAATGATGGGAAATGGGTGTGATTCATTTGTTGTTTCTTTGGTTGCCGGGAAAGTTTGGAGAGAAGAACAATTGAAATTGTTGTTATGGGGTTGAATTGGGTAAAGGAAAAAGGTTAGGAAAGATAATTTGTCTCCTGTTTCCTGAGAAATGAACCTTTTTTTTGTTCTCCAAATTCGTATTTTTGTAAACAATTTTTATGTTACTAATTGCTAAGGAGCCTCTGCTTCTAGGTTTGGTTTGTTCTTTGTTTGATATTTAGGAAGATGTTGGTATATTGTATAAACTTTGGGTTATTGGTGAATTACTTGATGTGAGAAAGAGAGATTGAGTGGAAAGCTTGACAGCCGAACAAAGCTTGTTTGCCTAGTTCTAGTGGTATAGCACATAAAGCATGAATTTTTTGTTGCCTTGTTATTTTACTGATTTGCAAGCGAGTTCTTATGTTTTTCGAGAGCATCAAAGCTTTATCAGGTTTATCAGAGCACTGGTTGGGATTATCCCTATGCTTAGACCAAAGTCATCTCACATTAGCATTATCAGTTGTCCGACATACTAATTCCCTTGTTACATGATCTGCGTGAAAATAGGTGGCTTGGATTAATTGGGCAGTTCTGCCCGAAGAAACTCTTTTATTGTATTAAAGCTGAAGTTACCAATGATGAGATGGGGGTCCCTACTTTGAAAGATGTGGTGAAGCATGTCTTGGACAAGTCACTTTATTCGTTTGGATTATGCACACAACTTCTTTTGTCTCCGTCCTCATCCATAAAGTTGAGCACAGAAGGACATGGTGAGAAAAAAGGACGCCGCAACAAATTGATGCTCTTTCATAAGGCACGCATTTACTTTCCTGTTTTGACCTTTAATCAAATGTTTAAGCAGTCAGAATTCCTTTTGTCCCTTGTTTGCCGGCTAGTTTGAGGGATTTATGGGTGTCAATTTCTTCATTTTTTGTACAATTGCTATGGCTAGGTGGATAATTTGTTTACTGATTGGAGTTGTTAGGTTTAAAGTTCTTTTTTGGGTTTGTTCATGCCAGGTTGTAGTATCATCCAACTGCGATTTTTTCTTTCTTTCATATGACAAATTTCTCTTATAGGAATTGAAGTTAAAAATAAGTAATTATAGGGATGTATCACTTGAACTTTACCAGATTCTGTCAGCATGTATAATCTTAAAGTATTGTTTCCTAATTTCTTAATTGTTGAAAAGTAGGGCCTTGTTTGGTCTCTAGGATTGGAATGGAATGGACAAACTACTATATTGAGGGTGTATTAAAGATAGGGGTGAATGATTTTTCATATTGATGTGATTAGAAGGGGGATATGGAAAATACTCCCTTCTGATCCTTACCATTTTGGTGGATTGGAATGGAAAATAATCCATCTCCTACCTTCAAGTAAGCCACAATTTTTTCATTTCTTTCGTCAACATACCTTGAATATAGTGGGTTGTCCATTTCAATCCAATCTTAGAGACTAAATGAGGCCACAATTTTTTCATTTCTTTCCTGAACATACCTTGGATATAGGTTTGTATATATCAACATGCTTCAAAAATCTTAATTTACAAGTTTCTTCTGTTTACCACTTTTCTTTATAGGTTACATGACTTGATAACATTGCACATATGCACTGCAGGGAACATAGATAAAATTGGAAAGTTTCATGTCTATAAATTAAGAGCCATGTACTGACAAAGTTAATATCAGTACCTTTAACATTGCACATGTGCTGCCTAAGCTGTTTGAGTGAAAAAGTTCATGTCTGTACCTTTATTTCCTTTATTTATCTTCCTGTTTAAATTATGAGCCATGCATTAAATTTTCTCAACCTTTAAGGTGTTTGCAGCTTCCTTACCATGATATTACACTTGAGGCTGCATGGCCTGAACTGTTCGTTGACCATAAGGGAAAATACTGGGATGTGCCTGAGTCAATTTCCTTAGATATGTCATCACTTGTCTCCAAATCTGGATTGCGGTACCACATTGGTGTACATAAAAACAGTGGTCATCCCCAGGCAGTTAATTCCATAGATGATGAGGCACCTCCTTCTCTAATGCCTGGATTCTGCGCAAAGGCTGCCTTTTCTTATGAAAAAAGCCAAGATCTTTGGAGTCAAAATGAGACACGAAAAGACATCATGATACAGAAAGAAAAGGGTTTGTTTTGGCGGCCATCTTATGATGTGCGTCTTAAAGAACCTCATGCTGCAGTATATGGAGTTTTTGGTAATTTAACACGTTACTCATATTTTCTGTGATAACTTGTATTATCTCGTTACAGTTTTTTGGAAGTTTCATACCAATACTCAGGTGTATATTATAATTTTTTAGTTTATACATTTGCATGTTTTTATACATGTATACATGTTTTGGTACCTCTTAGTTTCATTTATATTGTATGTGTGTAGTTTTCTACTTTAGTATATTAAAAGCCAGTAGACTTAAGGAGTATGTCACCTCCTTTTAGTAGGTGTGACTGCAGTAAAAGAAAATAATAGTAATAAAAATAATTCTAGAGACAAATTCTAACAGAACAATTCTATATTTTTATTTTGTGTTTACAAGTCCAGATCTGTTGCCGACAGTATGCAGTATCTTTAGTTTTTACTTTAACTATTTCCTGATGTTTGCCCCAGGGAAGGCCAGGTACGAAATTCTTTAATTGTCAAAATTAATCATTGTTAGTGATATAGTTCCCTTTAGTTTGCAAAATTAATTTGTAATGCCATTCTCACTTCTTCTGGTCAATGGTGGCATTAAATTTTAGGTGGAGGCTGCACTGCCTGGTTTCAGGATGGGTACAACCTGCTATACTTTCCAGCACGGAAAATTTGGAGAGCTCTACGGTGATCTGACCTGGATTGATGCTCGCCTGGATATTTGTTCAGCGTCAGGTTTGGCTAAAAGGGTGATAATGGTTTGAAGAGTTCCTCAGCTAATAGTGCAAAAGATCCGATGTCCTCCCCTGGGATCAATCTAATCTTTCAGCAGCAGGTATTTCTATTTATTCCTTAACTTTTTAAATGTTTCACACCTTAAGTTGTAAGAGATATTTTAAATGCAGTTATGCACAATGTGTTACAAAACCTGCATCGTCCCCATCAAATCCTCAAAACAAATCTTCCTCAAAATATTCCATCTTCACCTCCAAAATACCCATAATGTTCAAAAACGTCAATCTGGGAAAGCTACGCGCTGTGCCTTCTTTTCTTCACCGTAGTTAAACGACTTGGTAGAAAAATCTGAAATTTTGGGACAATCATCTTGAAAGACTCATGAACATCCTTCAATTGAAATCTCTAAAATTCATCCGCTTGATCATTTTTTACTCAAGAGGAAGTCGAATGCCTTGCATTGAAAATACATAACAAAGTATCAAAATTCTACCAAAATAACCAATAAACTATAACTAAGAATAGGGTAAAATATATGGTATAATATGTACTCATCAAATACTCCCAAACTTAGCTTTTTGCCTGTCCTCTAGCAAAACAAAACTCAAAAACAAAAAATAAAAACTAACAAACTAAAAACTTCAACAAAAATTGACTATGGCAATTTTCACTTTCAAGTTGCAATCCATAAAAAATGTTAAAATTAGAACATCTTTTAAAAAATTCCAACCAATACCACCACAGAGTCTAAGCCATTTAGAATTAATTAGAAAAAAACTCATGAACTTCATTTGGTATAAAATGAATCAACATGGTTAAAAAGACTCGACTAAAACCCTTACCACTTGTCCATTTTAGTTAATACTTACTAACTTCAAACATAACTATTTTGAAGTTAACCTAAAACCCTTACCACCACAGAGTCTAGTCCATCCGAACTCCAATGTTAAACGAGTTTGAACGAGAGTAGTACTAGGATGGGTGACCGCCTAGAAAGTCCTCGTGTTGCATCCCTCACAGCCGACCCCACATGGTGGGAAAAGGCTTAAGAAAAAGAAGAAGAAGATAGTAATAAAAGTGGTTGTGCAATGTTAGTTCACTTAAACTTTCGATCCAACCCATGTAATGAGTTTTAGGTCAATGGCTCCCAAACCACAAGGGCTTTGGGGCACTAGGTGTAGAATGCCCCTAAGGCCTTACTAACTCGAGCTGAAAAGGCTATGAAACCAACTAACCACCTCATCTCATGCCAAGACTCTACTATTTGATGCGAGATCACTGCTGATTGGGCATGACTAACCTAGTTACTAAGCAAAGTCTCGGTGGAACAATTATTACTTTATTTATAACAATAAATAAACTTTATTTTTTTTAGAACAAAAATATAAAAAATTAACTTAGATGAAAAGCAAGTGCTTCAATCTCACCCCCACAAATCATGTTGGTGTGAATGTGCTAATTGTGAAAGGATAACTCATGCATGTATGTTTTCTGTATGTGGACTTGGGGATCCGAGTAAGGCCCCGGGGAATAGGAAATGCAAGGAGCAATGGCTCACAAATGAAGGTGCTGTACACACAGCAAAGATGGCTGCAAGAACTCGGATCTACAAAATGAAAGGTAAATCAAATCCCTCCACTGCGTTAAAATTAAGCATGGTTTAATATCTCTGAAAGTCATACGGATTTGTGAAATGTTTCTCTCATGCATTTATAGACCTAAAATTTCGTCAATGCTCATGTAATTTTCCGTGACATGGCTTTGATGAATGCCCACCTCTGTGTTGCCTGGACCACCCCCAAACTATATGTAAAACAATATTTTAATGAAATATGAGAGTGAGTGAGCGAAAGATAAATGTTGATGAATGGATGATGAATGCTCACATAAATGTTGATGAATGGATGACTGATGAATGCGTATTTTTGTATCTTTATTGTTTCGTTTATAGAAGAGTAAGGTTTATATCCTCCTTCTTTTTCATGTATTTTTTTTCTTTTTTCTAGTATTACGAGGAGTTAGGTTTATATTCTCCTGACTAGGTGTAACTTACTTTTTGTTATTAATAAAATTCTCCTCGTACCGTCTAGGTTTTCTAAAAAAATAAAATAACAAAAGCAATAAACTACTATGGAATGCTTCCCATTTTCAACCAGGGATAAGCCTCTCAACAGAGAGCAGGAAATCCAACATAGGTTTGAAATTTGATGAATACTTTCCACAACTTTGTTTTTTAATTTTTAATTTTAATTCTTTCAGAGTGTTCGTCCTATAATGTTTGGCAAAGCTAGAACGTCATTGTTCAAGCATAATTCGATGCAAATAAGTTTGTTTGGCAAACATTGATCAACTAGCCATTTGCACTGCATTTTTTATCTAACAAATACGAGAACGCTTTCACATAACATCAATACTATTACATGCTATACCACATTATTAACAATAAGCTTCTATTCGCATATACCATTTGCTCAAAGTTTGTTTCTGATCCGACACATATGTGCCACAGCATCATAGATGTTCAATCTTTCTCTAGGCAACTCCGTTGAGCAAGCAACACCAATTTCTAAAACAGAGATTAAACTTTCTATGATTAGGATGTGATTCCTTGCCCTCCCCTCATTAGGATGATTGCTCTCTTGAACAAGAACGGGATCCAAAACCTCTTCCACTTGCTCAGGCAGAGCTGCCTTCACAAAGCTATAAAGGTTTGAAGTTCCCTGAAACATGTCATCGGTCGGTCTTTTTCCTGTAAATATTTCCAACAGGAGGATGCCAAAGCTGTACACATCACCTTGTGTCCACACTTCATGTCCCATGCCATATTCTGCATTCCACAATTCAGAACATTAGATTCTAATTTTCTAGTGAAATGCTAAAAGCTCATTTCATGTTTGAAAATTTTAAAATAAATACTGCACAATTTTAAAATACTAGCTAGGGAAAAATAAACCACCAAGTGTATTTACCTGGAGGAGCATAACCAATAGTTCCCTTGATCCCTAAAGAGCTTGATTGATTTCCCGAAGAATTTTCAGCAGCTTTTGGTAGGAACCTCACCAACCCGAAGTCACCTACATGTGCAACCATGTCCTCATTGAGAAGAATATTGCTGGGTTTGAGGTCGCAATGAACTATTGGCGTCTCACAATGATGATGGAGATAATCCAATGCCATAGCAACATCAATAACAATATTCAACCTCTGAGAAATTGTTAAGCTCCTTGGCCTCTCATTTGTCTCACTAATTGTATGAATTGGATACAGCCATTCCTCCAAGCTCCCGTTAACCATGAACTCATAAATTAAGGCCTTGAAGTCGTGACCGCGATAATCAAAACCAGAACATGCTGAGAGTACCTTGACAAGATTACGGTGTCTAATATTTCTGAAAGCCTTGCACTCAGCAATAAAACTTTTGTAAGCTCCGCGACAAACGAGGTTGAGTACCTTGATGGCAACTATAGTTTCACCTTGCTCAAATACTCCTTTATAAACGGACCCAAAACTGCCCATACCGACCAAGTTGGTTGAGGAGAATCCATTTGTTGCCTTTAGAAGACTTTGGTAAGACACCTGGGGAAATTTGTCCGAATCAATTGCAGCTTGACCCTTTTTGTCCCTCCGTGAGCAATAAAGGTACAAAAAGGTTAGTGCAAAAATGACTCCAAGAATCCCACAAACGAGGGGGAGAACCAATTTCATGGTTAAGCTCAATCCTTTCTTTTTTGCATGCTGGAGTTTGCACTTTGGCAAATGAAACTCAGGTATGCCCCCACAAAGCTTGCTATTTCCTTCAACTGATGTCGCCGTTGCATTCTTGAACACTCCTTTGATCGGCAACATGCCCTCAAAATTGTTATAAGATAGATTCAGAGATTCCAAAAATATAAAACCTTCTAAGAATTCTGGAATGGTGCCTGACAAGTTGTTGTGAGAAAGATACAATTCTGAAAGACCTCTTAGTGAACTCAAAGTTGATGGAATTGTCCCATTGAAGAAATTTCCATGCATGTCTAGGTACTCTAATTTTACACAACTAACAAGACTTGTGGGAATTTTACCGAATAACATGTTATTAGAGATATCTAAATACTCTAGATTTATTAAAGTTCCTATGTTCTCTGGCAGGGAGCCTAGAAACTGATTTTGTCCTAAACTCAAATTATACAAGTTCAGTAGACCAAAGATTTCTTGCGATATGATACCGCTGAAATTGTTGGCACCAAGATGTAAGATCCTCAAATTCTGACACTCTGCTAAACTCGGCGGGATATTGCCTTGAAGTTTGTTGCCTGCTAAGCTTAACACATTTAATTGACTTAAATTTCTGAAAGAGGATGGAAGATTGCCAGAGAGAGAGTTCCCATCAAAAGTTAATTGATATAACTTGTGCAGCTTTCCCAGACCAGGGGGAATGTGACCTGAAATTTGGTTCTCGTCCATCCCCAAAAGCTCTAAGTTAGCCAGATTTACAATCTCATTCGGGATACTTCCTAATATTTTATTTTGAGCTATAATGAAGCTTTGAAGAGAAGAAGACAGGTTTCCTATGCACTGAGGTAACGTGCCCCAAAAATTGTTGGTAAACATTTGGAGAATTTCTAAATGGGTGGCGTTGGTCAAATCGCAGAGAAAGGTCAAGTCATCAATTCCCCCACTTCCGAGATGGTTGTCAGCAAGGATTAACCACTCAAGCTTATGCAAATTCGTCAATGGAGGGACTTTTCCATGCAGGTGGTTACCTCCGATCCCCAATCTAAATAGATTTGAGGCATTTGATAATGAAACAGGAATAGATCCACTGAATTGGTTATTGGAAATAGAAAATGTTTGGAGACTCGGAAAGACCATACCTAAGTTTGAGGGTAGACTCCCTTGGATTTCATTACCTCCCATAATAAGGTTTATGATAGAAGAGAGATTAAAGATTGAGGGAGGAAGCATACCCGAAAAGCTATTTAGGTCCAAAGCAAGAAAGCTAAGATTGGTCATTCGGCCAAAAATATCCGGGACAGTGCCACTCAAATTATTAGAAATTGCGGAGAACCCTTCAAGAGATGATAAATTGCTAAAAGAAGTAGGGACTCCCCCTGTAAAGTGGTTATCGTGGATGGAAAAAAACCTTAACTTTGACAAGAGGCCAAGCTCCTTTGGAATCTTTCCCATCAGTACATTGAAACAAACATCGAGCCCGAGGAGCTGAGAGCAACGCGACAAGTTAGTGGGAATTTCTCCACTCAGTGAATTGTTGTTTAACCGTAGGTGTTGCAATCTGTGCAGGCGGCTGAATTCTGGAGGAATTTCATGGCCTAAGCTGTTGTTCCGGAGATCAATGACTCTCAAAAAACTCAAGTTCCCAATATGCGGCGATATAGATCCTGCAAGTTTGAAGGACCGCAGGCTCAACCTTGTGACCCTCTTAGGACGACGACCACATGTAACGCCATGCCAAGAGCAAAAGTGGATGGTTTCATTCCATGAAGTCAGGACTTCAAAAGGGTCATGAGTTATGCTAGCTTTGATTTCAAGCAAAGCGAGTCTATCTGTCTCATTTCCCGGAAGGGCGAAACAAGGAAGGCAAGAGTGAAGAATGAAAGCATGCAAAAAAAAGGATGACAAAAACACTGCAGAAATGGAGTTGTAAAACCCCATCCCCATGATGATGATATTTGTTTTGTGCGAAAGTAGAAATTGAGTTGTAAAAAGGTTGATCTGTATTGATTGTTTGTCTAGCAGCTTTAGCAGCATCCAATTTATAATCATAATCAGAGTGTTCTGTACGTAGTGGATCAGCCACCCCAATCGCTATCGTACTCGATGAGGGATGTCCTGACAAAAAAAATATATCTTTTTCTCTTAATTTGATGAATAAATTCAATATAAATATAATTTTGTGAACTAATATTAGGAATGTTCACTTTTTGAAGTTATTGTATTCATTCTTTTAACTTAAAACAAACTCACGAGTTATAAGTTGAGTGAAATTATAACATCATATGATCGTGTTCGAATAAATAAAAAATTGCTCGTTCCTGTTCATATCGATAGTACGCCAATAAAACAATAGTTAGCTTTGGTATTGTATAATGACAATTCCTAATTTTGGTGTATTATCGTGTCATTTGTTTATGCCAACAAGTAATGTTCGTCCTCACTCCTCTAGTTCCAGATTGGGCGCATGCTTAGGCCTGGCAATTTCTGACACGACCCGATAACCCGACACGACACGACACGAAATTAACAGGTGTTTGGGTCGACACGATAACGAATCGGGTCGTTATCGGGTAACCCGATAAGCACCTGTTAAGATAATGGGTTGGTTCGGGTATACACGTGGGTAACACGATACACGATAAGCAGAATATTATTTTTATAATTTTATAACCCTAAAAAAATACTATAATAATTATATACATTAATTTTACAATTTTATATCCCTAAAAATTATAATAAATATATATATATATATATATTAAATTAACTATAAAATTTATAATAATTATAATAATTATATATACTATAATAATTATACCCCCAATATATTAAGTCTATCTATAATAATTATATATATATATTAAATTTTATAAAAACTATAATAATTATTAATTAATAATTTAATATGCATGATGCATTGCATGATTTTGCATCCATTGAAATTTGATGTGATTTCTTTCCATTCAAATTTCAATAAATCACATCAAATTTCAATAATCAATTTCTTGCCGTTGCCAACTTGCCACCCTTTTTGAAAAAACAAAATGGAGGGAAAATGAAAATGTTAAGAAAAGTTGAAAATGAAACAAAAAAGTAAGGGAATTAGGGAAAGATGTTGGAGGGAAAAGTGAAAATGATAAGAAAAAGTTGAAAAGGAAACAAAAAAGAGAGGGAAAAATGAAAATTAATAGAAGTGGTGAGAAATTTTTTTTTTTTTTAAGTTATTAACTTTTTATCACACACATGACTGTTATGACATATCTCACTATTTTTATAATGACACACGTGACACGTGATGTATGTACTATTCCGTGTACCAGTCAATTATAATTTATACGTACAAAATAAATAGATTTAAATCTACTTAATAAATATATATATACACACACACACACACACACGGAACTTGATTGATGGCATACGAATTCTCCAAAACTAATTTCAACGATCCAAACCGTCAAAATTGTTTGTATATGCTTGGAGATCACATCAGCAAAAAATCACAAAAAAAAAAACATTCAGAGATCAAGTAACGGGACAAAGCTTTTCAACGGTTATAAACGAAAAATCACGATTTAAAGGTTATTTTAACTCCGATTTTGATGATTTTTTATAACTACACTCCTTGACCCTATATGAATACAATGAATGAATTCGATCTTCAATTTAAAATATTTACACAAGTGGATACCACAAAATCTTATGTTATACTTAATGAAAGTATAAATAAACTCTAAGTGTTAGTCAATCTATCGTTTTACAAATTCTCCAAAACTAATTTCAACAATCCAAACCGTCAAAATTGTTTGTATATTCTTGGAGATCACATCAGCAAAAAATCACAAAAAAAAAACATTCAGAGATCAAGTAACGGGACAAAGCTTTTCAACGGTTATAAACGAAAAATCACGATTTAACGGTTATTTTAACTCCGATTTTGATGATTTTTTATAACTACACTCCTTGACCCTATATGAATACAATGAATGAATTCAATCTTCAATTTAAAATATTTACACAAGTGGATACCACAAAATCTTATGTTATACTTAATGAAAGTATAAATAAACTCTAAGTGTTAGTCAATCTATCGTTTTATGAATTCTCCAAAACTAATTTCAACGATCCAAACGTCAAAATTGTTTGTATATGCTTGGAGATCACATCAGCAAAAAATCACAAAAAAAAAACATTCAGAGATCAAGTAACGGGACAAAGTTTTTCAACGGTTATAAACAAAAAATCACGATTTAACGGTTATTTTAACTCCGATTTTGATGATTTTTTATAACTACACTCCTTGACCCTATATGAATACAATGAATGAATTCGATCTTCAATTTAAAATATTTACACAAGTAGATACCATAAAATCTTATGTTATACTTAATGAAAGTATAAATAAACTCTAAGTGTTAGTCAATCTATCGTTTTACGAATTCTCCAAAACTAATTTCAACGATCCAAACCATCAAAATTGTTTGTATATGCTTAGAGATCACATCAGCAAAAACTCACAAAAAAAAAACATTCAGAGATCAAGTAACGGGACAAAGCTTTTCAACGGTTATAAACGAAAAATCACGATTTAACGGTTATTTTAACTCCGATTTTGATGATTTTTTATAACTACACTCCTTGACCCTATATGAATACAATGAATGAATTCGATCATCAATTTAAAATATTTACACAAGTGGATACCGCAAAATCTTATGTTATACTTAATGAAAGTATAAATAAACTCTAAGTGTTAGTCAATCTATCGTTTTACAAATTCTCCAAAACTAATTTCAACGATCCAAACCGTCAAAATTGTTTGTATATGCTTGGAGATCGCATCAGCAAAAAATCACAAAAAAAAAACATTCAGAGATCAAGTAACGGGACAAAGCTTTTCGACGGTTATAAACGAAAAATCAAGATTTAACGGTTATTTTAACTCTGATTTTGATGAATTTTTACAGCTACACTCCTTAACCCTATATGAATACAAAGAATGAATTTGATCTTCAATTTAAAATATTTACACTAGTGGATGTGGATATCACAAAATCTTATGTTATAATTTATATACTTAATAAAAGTATGAATCAACTATAATATTAATAATTATATACATTAATTTAATAATTGTATATCCCTAAAAAGTAAAAACTGTAATAATTATATAGATGTAGGTGTAAATTGAATACAATTTCATTATGATCGATGTAAATTGAAGATTTTGTAAATGGAGGTGTAAACTTTTGAGAAAGACTTACAATCTTAAAAACAAAAACTCTTTATCCTTGCACATTTAATATTTGTAATATATTAGTAGTGTATGTATTATTTTTTTTATTAGGCTTTTATTTTCGAGTGTAGATATAGTACTTGAACGAGAAATGTTTTAATGTTTTGAAGTAATATTTATGTGGCAATGTGTGGTATGTGCAAATTTTAAAAAAAAAATATTTTTTTCTTAACGGGTCATAATGGGTCATAACGGGTCGGGTCACTTTACCCGTTGGGTAAAGTGACACGACCTGTTAAGGACCCGTTAAGATAACGGGTGTGACACGACACGACCCGTTGAGATAACAGGTGTTACACGAAAACGACACGAACACGATAGACACGACCCGTTTGCCAGGCCTACGCATGCTTGCGTCTTGTGAATGGATTGAGGATATACACAAAAGAATAGGTAATGGGAACTTAGGTATGAGCAAGGCTGAGATCGAATAAGAAACTACTTTATGTGGAAGACATGACACCCCATTTGACTATGACTAGTTGTAAAATCATTGTAGCTAGTTATGGTGTGGAAAAGCTGAATAAGTCTTCCCCATGATCTTCATTCAAAGATTTATGCCTGAAGCATGGGTCATCCTGTGGTGGTTGAAAAAGATCCAACTGAACCACCTGAAATCTAATTCTTTATGTTTCTTCGAGCAACTCGTATAGGGAAAGAAAGACACATGTGGCTATCAAAGTCTGAAATACTAGTAAATAATAACATAACCAACTTCCGTAAATAGCCAAACGAGGCATGCCCAAGTCGCCAATGCCTTAACTAAATCTTCTAAATCTTGTCACGATTCCCACTGCGTACTTGATTCACTCTGCTAGGAGCCACATCGTCGACATAATACAACCCCCTTCTCTTAGACCATCTCCAACCCTGGGCTAAATGTTATTTTTTAGGTTTTATTCTCCTCCCAAATCCAACCCAATTCATGCTAAATGTGTGGGCTAAAAGCTAAAAGCTAAACAAAAGCCAGATTTAGCCCATGATTAGTGGGGCTGGCCCACCATATATATGTATTTTATTTAGTTTTATATTTATAAATTCATTGAATCCAACGGTTAAGATCTAATTTGATGAAATTCAACAGTAAAAAAAATATTTAACGGTTCAAATTTAAATGTAACGGCTAAATTAATTAAAATTTTTTTTTTATGTGTTTCATATTTTTTCATAGCGTTTAACGAGTTTCATGGTGTCTGTTTGTGATTTTTCAATATTTATCAGAATCTAAATATTTTTAGGTTAAAATGTTCATAAAATTAAATTATGATAGTCTACATAATTTTTTCTTTTAAAAAAGTTACTTTAAGAAAAAAAAAATTAGCCTAAATTCATTATTTAATAATCTTAGGCTAAAAATTTAGGCCAGAAGTAGTGGAGCAGAAAAACTGTTCTGGACTAAAAATTTTAGGTTTTAGCCCAAAGGTTGGTACCTTTTAAAAAATGTACTAGAAACATTAGTACGATATAACCTAATCGATCGGTAATTTGACTGACTGATAAAAGATGATTTGATAATTCTGGAAGAAGCAAGGTATTGTGTAAGGATAAAGATGGGGTGAGTGCAATTGGACCAGGCTCTGTTACTGAGATTATAGTTCCATTGGCAGTGACGACACTCTCTTTTGGAGGATAAATCATGGAT